CAAGAAATGGATCTTACACTAAGCACAGGGTGAATCAAACCACTCAACTCAAGTAGGACAATTCAATCAGAAACTTAAAATACACAGACTATGCCTCCGATTTGGTATAACCTTAGATAGGGGGCCAGCACATCAATAAAAGATTTGTCTCTAGTCCAAGATTCCTTCGACTATGTGAATTGCTAGTTCTCGAATCCAGAAATGAAAGCTCTAATCTACAATTAGAATATGACTCTAGTTGCAGCTTACCGTAGCATCCTTGCTCGCGGAACTGGACTCTTTCTCCTAGATAAACTCTCAGCATTTATAAGTTGTTCCTAACTCCTCCTTCGAGAAGGATCTGCCGATGATCTGCCTTGCCTACCTTCTTCTCGTCTGCAATGAAGTTACCTTCTTCCTCGTCTGCAATAAAGCTAACAAAAGAAAACTCTTAATCGCATAAGTGCTAAACGATCTTCCTGGAAAGGGGAACAACCAATACACTGAGAATATTATTCAAGATTCAAGAATAAGATAACAGGATTCCCAGTGAATTTGTTGTTAGTTTGCATCTTTTAGTCTTCTTAATAACATACAGAGAGAGGATGAGAAAAGAGTAATACTGGGAAATTACATGAGGTAAGATGCTTGATAAGTGTATTTTATACACTTATTCGAGATCTAAAATAGCGATATTTGATAGTTTTTTTGTCAAAATATATCCTAGATTGTTGTATTTTATGTTATATAGGTAAAACTCAATGTTTGAACGAGGAATCGAAAAAAAGAAGCGAAAATTGGTGAAAATGGGCAAAATTCGAAGTTTGAGGACAACATTGTAATTATTCAATAGTTGATTCGGACACAAGGAGATGCTTTGAAGATTCCTAGGAGATAACTTGATGAAATTAGAACTTAAAAAGGAATGGAAGACGATCAAAATCAATTTTCAATCGCACAAGTTATATTCCAATTTTTTATCCGAATATTGAGACTTATATTTGGCACAGTAAACGTTCGAATTGGAAAAATTCTATTTCTAGGTAAGTTGTAGCCATTTGAGCTAAATTTGCACTTTGAATCTCCTTAATAGGATATCTGGAGAGAAAGTTATGGCCAAAATACTGACTGCTGTGCAGAGACAAAAAAATCCGCGCTCGAAAACAACTTTCCTTATTCGATTAGAACTCTTTTGGAAACCAATTTGGACGTGATTTTCATCCAATTTCCGACTCTTACAAATACTTAACAGTAGAATACATATGGAGAGGGCCCCATACACTATTCTTCTCCTCTTT